CCCCGCCCAGGCCCGGGGGCCCCGCGCCGCGACCTGCTGCGGGGCGGCGGCCGGTGGCGGCGGGGAGCCCCGCAGAGCGGGCGTTCGGGCTGCAAGCGCAAGGGGACGCAGGGAGCCGGGAGGAGACTCCCGCGCCCTGCCCTGGAGGGTCGGCGCAAGAAAACCTTTCACCAAATACCCGCACGAACGACCTTTATTCTGGCTGGCGGGAGGGCAGTACATTTTATTAGATCAATTGATCTTGCTAGCAAGAAGGGCATACTGCCTGCCAGGCACGTAAACACTGATTCCAGGTCCGTCTGGGAACCACCACAAGGCCTTCTGTCATTCGCTAGCTTTAAATCTCACATGTCAATGAGTTTTATGTTTCCCAAACAATCCTATTTCTAGTTATCCGGTTGCTTTTTCTCCATGTCCCATATATATATATATATATAGTTCTCATTTCATCCTATTATTTCCTTTCCTACATTTTCAAACCCAAAACCTAGACAGTAGTAGTACACTTCACGTAAGACTTTATTTCTCATGTCTTTCTATCCATGTGTCTGAAGCACTCATACACTCACAGTATAACTGATTTCTCATTAAATGCTTACCATGACAAAAAGGCCTCATATGCAATTGGTCCAAAAAGCAGGACCCTGCTCTAATAATGTCTAGTAACATCTGTCTATGCAAATATTTGCAATGTGCACATGTAAGCTGGGGCATCACTATTAAATATTTCTGATTTTCCTCAAACAATTGTGGTATTAATGCCTGCACACAGATTATGCTTTTCCATTATTATTTGAGCAGCCTTAGTCCTTGCCACGGGTGTCCAAATATCCTGTGGCCAGTACAAAGAACTAGGTAATAGTGGATGCAGGACTACCTTTTTACACACCTTGATTTAATAATCAAAGAATTATATGATCTTGACCAGGCCCTGAAAACAGCTGAAACAAATTTTTCGAAAAATAATCTAGCCAAGGGTGTATCCAGTGAAGTTCCTGCTGACTGGAAAAGGGGAAGCATAACCACCATCTTTAAAAAGGGAAAAAAGGAAGATCCAGGGAACTACTACAGACCAGTCAGTCTCACCTCTGTGCCTGACAAGATCATGGAACAGATCCTCCTGGAAACGATGCTAGGGCACATGGAAAATAAGGAGGTGATTGGTGACAGCCAACACGACTTCACTAAGAGCAAATTGTCCCTGACAAATTTGGTGGCCTTAAATGACAGGGTTACAGCATTGGGGGATAAGGGAAGAGCAACTGACATCATCTACCTGGACTTGCGCAAAGCATTTGACATTGTCCCGCACAACAAACTTGTCTCTAAATTGGAGAGACATGGATCTGATGGATGGATCTCTCGGTGGATAACAAATTGGCTGAATGGTCACACTCAAAGAGTTGCAGTCAATGGCTCAATGTCCAAGTGGAAAGCGGTGATGACTGGTGGTTGGTGCTGTTTAACATATTTGTTGGCAATGGGGACAGTGGGATTGAGTGCACCCTCACCAAATTTGCCGACACCAAGCTGTGTGGTGAAGCCAACACACTGGAGGGAAGGGATGTGCCATCCAGAGGGACCTGGACAGGCTGGAGAGGTGGGCCCGTGCAAACTTCATGAAGTTCAACAAGGCCAAGTGCAAGGTCTTGCACACAGGTCAGGGCATTCTCAAGCACAAATACAGTCTGGGCAATAAGTGGATTGAGAGCAGTCCCGCAGAGAAGGACCTGGGGGTACTAGTGGATGGAAAACTGACTGTGAGCCAGCAATGTGCTCACACAGTGCAGAAAGCCAACTGTATCCTGGGCTGCATCAAGAGAAATGTAGCCAGCAGGTCAAGGGAGGGGATTCTCCCCCCCTACTCTGCTTTTGTGAGATCCCACCTGCAGTGTTGTGTCCAGCTCTAGGGACTCCAACATAAGAAGGTGTTTTGCCAATTATCAGGCCTAGCATAAAGGACACAGCCAGCATAAAGATGAACCAATAACCAAGTTGTATTTCATACAAAAAGGTCAGTACATGGGTGAGCGCTGAGGGTACAAAACAAAATTATACATAATTGACATCAATCCCACTGACCCCAACAACAACACTGCATGACCAACAATGGGTGGAAGACATGCAGTCTCCCATAGAAGGGACAGAAGACAACTGAGTCAACAAACCAAATACATAAAACCAAGGAAGCCACATACTGAATCTCTACACAGCCTGTGCTTACAAAAGCCAGACCTGACTGGAGCCCAGTTCCAGGGAGGTAGGAGGTCCTTCCTCAACAAAAAACTCTACAAAATGCATCCACCTCACAGACAGACACTGCCCATTCCTGCAAGTGGTCCCAGCTTCTATCCCCAAGTGGGACACCTGACCTTTGTTTACTTAATGCGGGACACTCAGGGCTCACCTAATGGCTCTCCCTGCAAGGCCGGCACCACCCTGGAGGGAAGCTTAAAGGTAAATTCACCCACCCTTTGTGAAGGGCTGTGGGAATCACCCATATATCAACATTAATTTGGGGCTTGGGGTTGTGAAACCCCAGCATTTCACTCAGACCCTTGACATATGGATGGACCACAGTCCTCACACGATCTCTAATGTCACATCTTTATCTCGTATTTGGCTACAGACACTGCCACAGTCATCTCAGCTGTTTCTTCATATTCTTCACTGTTGGGGTCTTTTTCATTGGAAGATCAGTGTGACTGTAGATCTGAAGCTGATGTCATCTGCTCAGCACAGTTCAGCGTCAACTTGTATTCCAGTCTGCATGCTGCCCTTCAGGTCGATTACATTTGTCACAGGAGCGATTTCATATTCCTGGCAGTGCCACGCAAGATCTAGAAGACAAAACTTTAGACTATCATTATTCCCGCAAATAACATTTATTTGTGGGGCCATGTTCCTGCTGTAGGATCAGGCTTTACCTCTTGATCCTGTATGGGGGTAGCCACTACTTGCTCATGGAGGGCAGGAACACCACCAGGTCCCACCTTTGCTCTGTCCTGGATGTACCATTTCCATTTTATAATGCTCAATTCTTGTGCATGCCCTATTCAATGAGTCTTCAGGGAGCTTTTAACCCACTGCATAATAGGCATTTTGGGGCACAGGGCCACCTCGTGGCCTATCATGAGCTGCTCGGTTTCTATCAAGGCCCAATAACAGGCTGACAGTTGTTTCTCAAAGGGCATGTAATTATGCCCTGCCTCTGGTAACTTCCTTCCCCAAAATCCTAAGGGGACTTTTCCCTTGTTTCTGCCAGAGGCTCCAATTAGCATATGACCCATTTATAGATACATTTAATTCTACTTTGTCATCCTGCGTGGGCCATAAGTCCAAAGCCCTTTGAATAGACTCATTTGCCAATTCAAAGGCAGCCTGCTGCTCATTTCCCCATTCGAATCCACGCTTTTTGCGAGTTACCTTGTATAATGGGGCCAGAATCTGTCCTAAATGTGGAATATGTTGTCTCCAGAAACCA